AAACAAGAATAGGAGTCTATGCTTTGAGCTAAATGCTAACGTCAGCATGCCAACATGTTAACAATAACAATGTTAACATACTGATTCTAGGCAGGAATGATTTTTACCATGGTCATCATCTTGGCTTAATGTCAGAATCAGAATCAGAATTATGTTTATTACCAAGTAGGTTTTTACACCTACGAGGAATGTGTCCTGGTGCATTGGTGCATAAAATATACAAATCACACAGAAAAATAAAGTGCTTTTAAAATATAAATAAATTAAGATAAGAAAGATGTGCTTACCTGATATCATCAAGCTGATTAATGTGATACAACATCCTTTGTATGTCATCTTCGGACAAATCCACATCGAGGTCTACCACAGTTTTCATAATCATCTTCAGGTCAAACTCACAGAAGGAGCTGTGGAAGACACAGTTACATTTACTTCCTAAAATAGATGTTTTTATTTTGCAAAATGTGAATATTATTTTGAAAAAGTTTACCTTTTCTCCAGCTTCTCACAGATTTTCTGGGTGGTCTGAATGTATTTGTCCAGCTGATATGCTAGCACTTCCACATTCTGAGGTCTGGGAAGGAAGAAGACACTGGCATCTCTTTTAAACTCGAGGAGGAGAGGGCAGATTAGCCGCGCAGCAGTGATGACAACCTGAACATTTTCAAGGCTGATCCATTCTGGTAGATGCAACACCTGGTTCTCTGTGAACACATGAAGGGAGGTGACCGCCAGCTTCTCCACTGAATCCAGGAAGCAGTCAAGCTTCTCCAGGCCTCCCAGAGTGTCCTTCAGCACAGCAGCCAGCTCCTTCTCCAGCTCTGCACGCCTGCTGTCTGCAGTCACCTGGGTCACCTTGCTCTTCATATATTCCCAAAAGGCTTTAACTTTGGTCCCTGACTTATTTACATGGTTAAAGTTCAGGTCAATTTTGTCAGCCCTGTCCTTGATGTCTCTCATCATGTCCAACTCTGACTCCCTCCCAATCATCCATTTAGAGATCCTCTCACAGAATCCTCTCACAGTGTCAATGTAGATTAGAGTATCTGCAGTGTAGTGGCACAAGGCCTCCTGTAGCTCCTTTCTGCAAGACAAGACGACATCCAGTTTGTGAGATTTAAAAACAAATTCTGGACGATATTATGTCTCACAGTTAGTCTCACATTGCAAGACTGAAAAACTGAAACTGAAAAAGATACAGAACGTCTACAAAGAGATGCAAAAAGACATAAATCAACTATGAAGAGACAAAAAATGACTACAGAGAAATGCATGAACATCAAAAGGAGAAACAAAATGATTGAGGAGGTACAAAGAGACAAAAAATGAGCACAAAGAGAAACAAAACACACAAAAACTAAGTGTCCTCGTGTTAGCCTATCCCTTTTATGCATCTGGTACACATTTTGTGTTCAGACCAGACCTGATAATGTTGGCTGTCTCTTTAAATTCTATATATGAGTGTACAAAAAGGACATAAATACTGTATATAAGATAAACTAATTGTCACACATAGCCAACTGTATTTATAAACAAATGATACATTAAGGATTCAAACCACCAAGCCCACCTACATATAAAGGCCTATTACATACATCAGTAGTTCCCAACCTGGGGGTCAGAATCCCTCCAAGAGGTCACAAGAGAGAGGAGTTGTGAGATGATTGACAGGATGGAAGAGCAGTAAAAATACATTTTTTATATATATATATATATATATATATATATATATATATATATAAATTTATATGGAACATACAATGGAATAAATTCTGATCTATCTATCTTCTAGTAATTTCCAACTAGTCACATTGCTTTGTATAAGGATCCACAGACCACAAAGGTTTGGAACAATGGTTCAATTCATGGTCATATGAGTTTTAGTAATCGTTGCGTTACAAGATCTGACCAGCAGATGCTGCCAGAGCACACATGGTTTCTCAAACTGAGTGGAGCAACAGGTTTAATGAGTCCAATCATCATTAAATACTGTTCCACATATTCTTTGGGCACAGTAGTTTGCAATATAATAGATTTTGAACCGAAATTATTTTACAACAATTAATTATTGTCTTTACTGACATAAGCAAAGCTAAGAGCTGCTTATATCTCTTTTTGTTGCCATTGTTTTTAAGATACAATATTAATTTCTAGGATCAGGTATGTAAGTGTGCGCTGAGGGTTACAAAACACACTAAAAGGTCGAATTTATTGAATATCACATTATTAAGTTATTGTGTTCTTTTTTGGAGTTTCTGACATCCCAATATCTGTCCACTACCTTATTTGATACTCTGCAGTTACAATTAGCTTTTCTCTCATTTTCTGTGCAGCCCAAAGGTTCAAACTCCTTACCTGGCTGTAGACATGTTTCCTCCTCTCGGTATGTTGTCTTCAGATATGCTGATATACCTCAATCAAAAATTGTGGACAAAACTTCAGTAGGTAATTATGCACAAGTGTGTTTGGTTTCGTTTCCCTTTCTCCACATAACCAGACTGAGTTTTATCACCTGAGTTTTATAACAGCACAGTATCAACAGCACGCCTTTGCTCTTTTCCTAGTGCTCCCTTCAACAACTATCAGAAATATGGATGTTGATGACAAGAACCAAAGGTTTATGCTCCTAAAGAATAAAATATATGCTGGCCTACAAGTTGGTGTAAACAATCTAATAAATGTAAAGTCATTGTATAATGATTCTTTACTAAGTTATTTACTTTTTTATTAATTTCTCAAATGTGCTGTGACACTGGCAGAAAACATATAACTGATTGTGGGAAAGCTGTACTGCAATGTCAACACAGCTGTATGTTCATTTTCACTTTTACAAACTGAAATTGAATGTATCAGTAACCTTAATTTACAAATGTGTCAATTTTTACAAAGAAATAGTGTACATTAATATGGTTAGTGTTAATTATAAGGTTATTCACCAATATACCTAGAGTACTAAGGCTTTAGAAAGTCGCTGACTCAACAACTTCTACAAAAACAGTGTTTATTGTTCAATAAGATCAAGTTTAAACCAGGTTTTTTGAGTCAAGATAGTCCGGACAGAGGTGTGCAGAATAAATTATGTCTAACTCACAGGATTATTGATAATGAAGTTCCAAAGTACCTGTGCAACTAATTTACCAAAGTTAGTGAATACAGTAATTACACCACACGAGGGAGTACAACTGATTTGATTTGGTTCAAGGGCTGTATGTATCTTGTGACATACCACCAACTATATGTGGCAGATTCCGGTGAAACTGGATCATATTTTATGTAGAAAATGTTTTCTGGTTTTCCCATTTTTTGTCCTTGCTTTCTCCTACTTTAGGCCGCGCCCAGATGAAAATGAATGTAGTGCTTCCAGGAGTGTAAAGGGGAATTTACAAAAAAGGAACTAGTAGTCAGTGTGTTTAAGACAAAAGTAAAAATGAAAGTAATGTCCTGAGTTGACCCACTGAAAGTCAGGGTCAATACAGGCATTTATTAATTGTTATCAGTTTTTTTTAAATATGAAAATGTATTGCCTGTAAAGCAGATGTTTGCTTCCAGAGTGACAGTTGTAAATGTGCCCTTTCTTATATTTGCTGTTTGGAACAGCTGTCTGGAGGAAATCAGACAAATGTCTGACCATATGTGACTCAGGGACCCTGTAACTGGTTTGATAGGACATCTACTCTTATATATAAAATGCCTCTCGGCCTATAAACTAGAGATAAGGGGCGAGGATGTTACAATTTATCAAGTTGAGGGTGATCCAAAGAAAAGAAATTCTGGGTGACCTATAAAACATCAATAATACAAGTTAAAATAGAGCCCTGTATTTCCAGTCTTTCCACAGCATAGATTCATACCTGGAAGCTACCCAGTATAGCCTCAGTCCACTGAACAGTTCCACTGGAGCAGTTGAGGTTAAGGGAGCATTTGAGAACATAGAATGGACCTGTTTGAATCCTTATGTACAGAACATTGATTAGTTTTTCATCACCACATTTACTTTGTGCCATGCAGCCGAGTAGGGCCGCTCTCTTTCACATGCCATCTTCACTGTTTAGCTGGAGTGTCCATTAAAAGGGAGAACTTGCCCAGATATGGTGTAAGAATGAGAGTTGTCAGCAGCTTGCTGACATTATTTGCCATCTGCACAGTAAAAAAACATCAGTTCCTGTGGTATTGAATTGAATGCTTTCATCAAGCTTCCAGCCGTTACTGCAAACTGCATAAACAAGTGACTTTATGTCCCTCACACCAATGATACCAATGTGGTTTCCTGGAAGGAAATTATTTTATTTTTTTCAAGAGCTCATTAATACAAAACTAAAACGCAGTATAGACTGTTGGAATGTCTGCCTTTTACCCTTTATTGATTTACCCAGTTTAAATTGTGTCATTCTCAGATTTATTCACCTCTTTTATCTGCCTTTATCATTTTTATCATATAACCAGAACTTCCAAAAGTTCATAGTCTCAAAAGCGTAAGTGTAAAGGGGTCTTTGCCAGGAAATCTTGCACCTGGGGACCAGTGTTCAAGCTGATCCAGTCTCTGGAGCCCCCTACTGGTTAAAATTGAGATCTCTTTAGGCACAAAGTTGTCCTTGCATTTCTGTTTCTAAGGTGCCCTTCTTATTGTTCCTCCACTTGAATGTTAGAGCTTCCCTGTGCAGAATGATGTATGTACAGAGTTTTACTCTTCAAGGCAGATTTCACTTTCATCTGCTGAAGTAAGAATGTTTTTCTTTATTATCCCCAGTCTGAGTATAAAGCATAATTAAATGAAAGTGAATGAGAATATAGCAGGATACAGCACATACTGCAGGGGCAGCAAATCCTCCTCTTAATACCCAAAAACCACAATCTTACTTTGTTTTACTAAAATAATGAACAAACCACATTTTACAAGAGATGAAAGAATTCTCTTCATTAATTATAAAAATCAGAGTTACAAAAAGTGATTTTACCTTAATTCTTACTGATACATATCATAAAGGAACTCAAACTGTGTCTTACATTTAGATACATTTATTGAATATAATTCAAGAAAAAAAGTGCTTAAAGTGAAATTAGTAAAAAAAAAGAGATAGGTTTGATTGTAAAATTAAAACATTACAAATATAACACTTTGCAAGGACAGGTAAAGCAGGTACCCCCACTGACACCACAGCTATAGAAAACTGGCTCCAGTTTCTGAAACAAAAACATTTGGCATCTCTGTGTTCTAAGACAACAAATGTTTGTATATGGGAAAACATTTATTGAATCATTTTAAAATGCAACCCACTGCAGTTCCAAGGTAAAGTAGTTTTTCACAAACGGAATATAAATTCAATCAAACAAAAACATACAGCCCATGTGATTCAGCTCAAATGTGGACTCAATAAATCGTCTGTGTCATAACAAATAGAGCTAATATTAATCAAAGATAGACTTATGTTTGATGCTGATCAGTGCTTTACTGCTATTGGCAAGACTAAATGTTCATACCTGATTTATTTACATTAATTACAGTTACAAAAAAGTTGAGTTGCCACAGATATAGTGACCACTATCTGATATTCATCAGATAGAAATTTAATTTAGTCTCTGTGTTCCTTCATCTCCCTCTCTGGAAAAAAAATGCATCTACAGGACAGCTCGTTTTTTTTCTCTGATGTCAGCAGAGACGGTAAAGTTGGTCACCTCACCCAGGTCAGGTAAAGCAGGTATTACTAAATGATACCTATATACATTATGTTCTGCAACGGGCAAAGGGTTCTTGAATACAGTCAAGATAGAAACACACAGTCCATATATCAGGTCAATCAATATATGTCATATAAATCACAGATCATTAAGAAACCCTCAAAGATACATTGTTACATGTTTGATGCTGAACAGTGAGCTTTAAGCAGAGTTGCATTTTCACACATGGTTCGATCATATCAAATTATCTCATATCTGATCATAGTGTTAAAGTTGGCAAAAGGCACACAGTAATCTCTCCTCACAGAGTACAACTGTATTACACAATACTTTTCTTTCAGTTTCAGTTTTTCGTCCTCATCCACTTCATCAGATGGAATTTCCATTTCTGGTTCTCTTTGGTTTGGTTTGGTTCTCTGGTTCTTCTACGTCTCCATCTCAGGATAAAATGGCGTCTCCATGATAATTCGATTTTTCCCTGATCTCACCAGACCTTCGCTCAGGGAGTCATGAATCTTCTGCCATGAGTCTATCTCTGAGCTCCAGAGTGCAGCTCTGGCTCTGATGAACTGTGAGAATTTAGCCTCACTTCCTTTGGACAGACTGATGCTGTTCTTACAGATGAAGAAGATATCCATCCCAAGGAAAAGAGCATTGGCTGCGATAAAACCTACCCTGGCTGACTTGGAGAGGGCAAGAGGCCCTTTGACTGCTGCCTGACCGATATCTGGGATGTCTGAGGCCACCCTGGGAACGTTACGTAATGCTTTACCTTCCTGGACCACCACCTTGCCAGCACTTGTAAGCAGCTCCTCACTTTTCAACACTTTAACAGCAGAGCCCAAATCAACAAGTGAATCAATGCCTTTTCCAACAACACCAACTTTACAAAGCACCTTGCCGACTCCCACAGCCACATCTATCGGGTTTGTTTCCCTTTTGGTCACCTCCTCCAAAGAATCCTGGAGAGTCTGCACATCCTCCATGAAGCTCTTGAAGACTTCACTGGCTTTCTTTTGCTGTGTACGGTTTACTCCAATCTCTGTGGCAGTGGTGACAGCACTGTTGACTCCGCTGGTAATTCCCAGCCCTACCCCAGTCATCGTCAGAGCTAGAGACACTCCTGCTGTTACAGGGATTAATGCCAAACCAACAATGGAAAGCACACCTCCAACTGCCCCCACTGAGCTGCCTGCCACGCTGGAGATCTTTGCCCCCTTATTCATCCTGTCTAGCTGAACAGCACTCTCTTCCAGGTCTTTTAGAAACTCCAGCATCCTGGGCTTTCGCTCTGTGAATTCATCAATGAAGCCAGAACATGATTCCTCCTGGAACAAGAACACCATCCTGAAGTTTTGGTTCATCCTGATATGAAGAAAAGAAAAAATTAAGAAAGAATAAATAAGATTTCATGAAATAAAATAAATTAATAATTATACTGAGCTCTTAATTCCTGCTGGGAATGCCCAATGACACAAATTTAATTTAGTGTTTGTACATTTAAACAAGATTAAGAGTCGATGCAAATGGCTCTATGAGGCTATGCTGAGGAACAGTGGTGCTTTGAGCTAAATGCTAATGTCAGCATGTCAACATGCTGACAATTACAATGTTAATATATTGATGCTAGGCAGGAATGATTTTTATCATGGTCATCATCTTGGTTTAATGTACTTACCTGATATCATCAAGCTGCTTAATGTGATACAACATCCTTTGTATGTCATCTTCGGACAAATCCACATCGAGGTCTACCACAGTTTTCATAATCATCTTCAGGTCAAACTCACAGAAGGAGCTGTGGAAGACACAGTTACATTTACTTCCTAAAATAGATGTTTTTATTTTGCAAAATGTGAATATTATTTTGAAAAAGTTTACCTTTTCTCCAGCTTCTCACAGATTTTCTGGGTGGTCTGAATGTATTTGTCCAGCTGATATGCTAGCACTTCCACATTCTGAAGTCTGGGAAGGAAGAAGACACTGGCATCTCTTTTAAACTCGAGGAGGAGAGGGCAGATTAGCCGTGCAGCAATGATGACAACCAGAACATTTTCAAGGCTGATCCCTTCTGGTAGATGCAACACCTGGTTCTCTGTGAACACATGAAGGGAGGTGACCGCCAGCTTCTCCACTGAATCCAGGAAGCAGTCAAGCTTCTCCAGGCCTCCCAGAGTGTCCTTCAGCACAGCAGCCAGCTCCTTCTCCAGCTCTGCACGTCTGCTGTCTGCAGTCACCTGGGTCACCTTGCTCTTCATATATTCCAAAAGGCTTTACCTTTGGTCTCTGACTTGGTTACATGGTTAAAGTTCAGGTCAATTTTGTCAGCCCTGTCCTTGATGTCTCTCATCATGTCCAACTCTGACTCCCTCCCAATCATCCATTTGGAGATCCTCTCACAGAGTCCTCTCACAGTGTCAATGTAGATTAGAGTATCTGCGGTGTAGCGGCACAAGGCCTCCTGTAGCTCCTTTCTGCAAGACAAGACGACATCCAGTTTGTGAGATTTAAAAAAAAAAGTCAAACAATCCACTGGACTTATGTTGTGGAGTTTACAATGTAAGACCTAGGGCCCTATCTTGCCGATCTCGGGCGCTGTAGCTATTATGCCGATCAGAGCGTCATCTCACATTCCCTTTTAAAGCAGGCGCGCTTGTTCCATGGCGGATTGCTATTATAACGGCGGATTTGCCAGGCGCACGCCAGGAGCCGTTCACAACCGAGGAGACCGACATTCTCGTCAGGGCCGTAAAATACAGAGAAGTGACATTATTGACATGAAATAAATGTAACACAGACATACAATAAATCAAAACAATGTAACACAGCTTTGCAGGAAGAAGACCCTGGCCTCGGGAGCAGTGCGCAAGGGCCGAGCAGTGCGCAAGGGCCAGCTGAGGAGGGAGCAGCGCAAACACCAAGGTGCAGAGGATCCAGACCCACTACACGCCGGAGGACCACCTGTTCCTGCAGCAAACCGGGTTTGGTTTGACATGCTGGAGCGGGAGCTGTCCGGGATGCGGCAAAGTATTAATGCCCGTCTTGACCGGGTGGCGATGTTGCTGCTGCCTCTCAGGCGCATCCCCTCAAGTCTGCGGCCTTAAAATAGCATCTGAATAAGTGCCACTGACTTTAGACTAGGTTTTTCCTGGTCAGGTGGCGGAATTGTTTTCTGAAACAGCAAAATAGCGCCAGGGAACGTTTGCGCCGGAACACGCCTCCTCTTTTCGCTGAACCGCCCCCCGGAGCGCAAGTTCATTCCCTAATTTAAGGACGTGCGTCGGTGGAGGGAAAATTCCAATGTGAGTCGAGTGCAAAATAGGAATTATACAAGCGCCAGTGTACAAAGTCAATTGCGCTGAGTGCAAGATAGAGCCCCTAATGTATCTCTACCCTTGGTTTGTCGTGACAGTGCAGGAGAAAGGCACATTGAGGCTACAGTAACGGTAACACTTAAAAAATGAGGAACGAATAAGGAACTAATAGCTAGAGAACCATTAATTAATGAGGAACTCATAATCAGATTTTATTGAGTAGTTAATGATTAGTTTATTAAAAAAAGTGAGAAACAAATCAGGACGGACTTAATAATTGATCATTCGTCGATAAATACTTCCCTGATAATTATGAATGGAGGTCTATATAGTAAATAATGATCAGTTACTAGAGAACTGGGAGAGCCTATATTAATGAATTATTTGGTAATAATTAGTTCATAAATATCAAGGAATCTATCATACTACCACTTTCTTTAGGAATTGTTCCTCATTAACTCTTAACCAGCCGGTGAATGGCACAGCACGACTCATTCATTATTAATTAATTAAATATTAGTTACCGTTCATGTGCTCCTAAGTAGTGATACATAATACTGAGTAGTTACTCAGTAGTCCCTCATGACTTGATCATTACTTTATAAAATATCAGTATAATTGTGCCTTGTATAGAGCGGTTACTGAATACTGAATCATTACTTCATGAGTAGCCAACCTGCCCATTAGTTACCAGGACTACCTTCCCTCTTCCAAGTGGTGATTCACCCTTACTGACAAATAACTTTAGTTATTAGGCTACTTGAAATCCATCAATACGAATGACAAATTACTCATCCTTTCTTTAGTTACCATTTTACCCTCATGGACAACACAAAAAATATACCAAAACATGAGGCTTAATCGGTAAGGGTGAGCTATAACTGTTCTCATTGATATCGTTCATAATTTCTGAAATATTCCCCATTTTCTTCATTCATTCCTTATGGAGAATTCCCATTTTTTTCTTACGTATTCATTCATACTTTCAGAAAGAAACTCTATTTATCTCAATCAAATATTCCACACCTTTCAGGCATTGTAGCTATCATTCAACTTTCAAGTCCAATTAAAACTTTTCAAAATATTCAACTGTTTTGTTGTTGTTGTAGAAAACTTTTCAAATCCACTCATCTTCAACCTATACCCACGCATTCACATAGAAACTCAATTCAAACTTAAAAACGTTAATTTTTTTTAATTGCAGTTCAAAATTCATGAAAATTTCAGCCCTTCTGAGACTTCTCCATTAGTGTGTATTGCGCGGAATGTTCCCAGCGAAGATTTTAAATCGTCCAAAAAACACAATTTCCGCTTATTTCCACTCATCATTTGTACAACAAAACTGAAGATGTGTGCCAGTTGCAGAAATGTAACTGCAGAGTCAAACTGACTTACACTTTAGCTTCCAAGTGAAAGGAGCGCCAACCAACTGCCACTTTAACTCAGACAGACTGACAGACACACACATTTTAAAATATTCTTTAAGCT